TCGTCCTTGTCTCAGAAGGTAAAAATAAACCTCATTATAACGACATCCGCGACCCAACTTTAAACTCCGAATCATTTGCTCCCACAGTTGTACAAGCAACCACATGAAAAATGGGAAATCTGAGGTCTATTTTAGTGTAAACACCAGTTCTGAAACGAGTTTGTAGTCCTCTGGGCTTCAGCAGCTGTACTGCATTATGAGAAAAAGACATCCTAACAATTATTCAATCACGAACTTAATTCAAAATGTAACTTGCTTGAAATGCACCGGGATACCCCAAGGAGTGGTTTTTGCGCTGACACAAATACAGTATTGGAAGGTAGGGAAAAAGCAGAGAAAGTAACAGACTGATTTTCCAGAGTCCTCACACATTAGTACCAGTCAGTCGGCTCTTCTTTGTTACAGATTTCAGTTAACTACTTCACATAGTGTCTCACAATTAACTGCTCGTGAGAATGGAAGGTTTTTGAATCTATGGTAAGATCTTTATCCTTGCAGGTAATGACAGTGAGTCAGGATGAACTTGAGACCCTATTACCGGACAATGAAACATAGTGGTGTTTTACAAATGATGGTAAAGATCACCTTCTGTCATATACACTGTATTTGGCTAATTATATCTGCTATCTAAACCTCCTCTTGTTCTCTCAACAAATCATCTAAAACTCTGGAGTGATGCTAAGTATAAGGACAACATGCTTACATTGCAAGCAGGTCTGTAACTTTTGTCCAAAAAAGATGTTTGTCGCCAGCGTGCAAAAGTGCTTAACGTCTCCGGTCGAGCATAGACATGTCAGTACACATGACATTCTTATTTACCTAATTAAACACAGCCCTGGTGTGGTATGAGCACAAAGAAGTGAGCTAACCACAATATAAAAAGTAAGAGTATATCAAGGGAAGGAAAACACCCAGAAACCAAGTAAGAATACTTGTCAAGAGCATTCAAAGGCAGGTTTAATGCCTAATTTTACAGTCAGAAACCAAAGAAAGAAGAAAACCACAGCCAGTTTACTTTCAGTTACTATTCATAGCCATATTTGAGGCACTGATCTGAATCAGCCCTCCCATCCCACGGAGTCGTCATGAGCCAACGGTGCTAGTATAATATAACTATCCTTCGTTCCACCATGCAGTCTCACAAAACTACCCACCTTTGCGAAATTGGCACCCGGGCACAAGTCTGACTGACTGGTTTCAACATAGAAGTCACCACAGCAGTGCAGCAGTTCAATTTCCCATACTCCACGTAGCACACAAAGGAGAACAAATGAGAAAAAAGGGATTCGAAAGAACAATGGAAGACGGAAATGTAAGGAAAAAGTAATGGTAATATGGAAAAACGATAGGATTTAATGGATATGGTAGATCAAAAAGAGTGAATGATTCTGAGCCATCGAGAGTGATTTCGAGCCACAAAAACAATCTCGGAAATCCTTTCGAGGCAGTCTAAATCTCCATAGGTGGCTCGAACTAAGTGCCAGAGTCAATGATATTCTGTCTTTGTTTACTTGCTAAACTGTTTCTTAAAATGATCTACCTCGTATTCCTGGTCTCTTTATTCCGATAAACAGCGTACCATAAGCCTCACAGTTTAGTCAACGATGCTATTCTTGATAACATTAGCTGAAATTAGTCGTAACAGGTTCCAACTATTGTTAGATCTAGCTTCTGATTCCAACTCTCACTTACATTTTGACCGCAAGGCTGCGTAGTCACTACGTATTCGCTATCTGTTCTTAAGCACGAGAACCTTGCACTTGTAATATTCACTAACCGGCGGATATCCAGAAGTCACAGGAAACTCGACGGAGCACTCAAGACGCAAGAGTATTGGGGCGAAACCAACGTTGACCTTTACTACTTACGGGCATTGAGTACTTATGATAAGTAGCAGGTGCTACCAGTCAGCACTGCAGTATATGTCAGGTGCGTACTCTTTGAAGCCCACCAATTTAATAGCACAAATCGTGATAAATTGCACAGGGGTTGCAATCCGTGGGTGAAGAGGCACTGCTTCTTTTTCTGTCTGTTTCTTGCTCTGATGCAAACTTCTAGCCTGACAGCATATAAATGGCCGGCGGTGAGAACTCAGACGAGTATTGCAGCTTCGCCTCCGGCACTTGTTGTGACAGCAACATCAGTCCAGCAACGAGCCCAGGATAAGCTTAGTTGGTGCACGCCATCTGAACTTGCAGATGAAACAAACAACCAAAGCGCTTCATCTGTCTGTGCATTTCTTTGAGGCGACAGGAAACAGAGAAAAGGCCTTTCGTGGTTCTGGTCATAGCTATCTGTTGTTCAGTTTGCATCGAGGTGCAATTGTTATGGGTGGCCGCCTTGAACACCACGTGGAGTTTCAGAATAGCTGTGTTAGATATCGCACTCAGGGCCGATATTACTGGGGCAACTAATGAGAAACTCGAAACCATATAAGTTGACTGTGGTTTCAAACAACAGGCAGAGGCTGAAAAAGCGAAAATACCAGATATGTTACGAATAGTAAAAATGGAAAGAAATGCTCTACATAAAAAATAAATCCAGAAGGGACTGAGTTTCTGGAAACATGATCGGAAGATTTGTCTGTGATAGTTTAATTTGTCACTAATTGTTGTTTCGCGATTCATCCGATGGCTGTAACGCTACCTGAACACTCAAACGGTAGGAGTTGGGCGATTAAACAGATCACAGATCCCTTAACTGAAACTCTAATCTACGAATCAGCAGGGCAACATCAGGAGCCGTGTTCTCATTGTTGACGGTAACCAGTAGAGACTCACATGACATTTAACCCTTTCGGATTCTGCAGCCCATGTGCATTCTAGGTTTGGAATGAGAGTTCACTAGCTTCTCTAGAGGAATCTTTATGTCCAACAGCCTAGTTGAATGCTCGGAACATTGACGTTTTCTCTTTAAATCTGTTGGAAACACCTCCAAGTAAAGGTATGGGATACAAATTGCATGAAAGAGTAGAGGACTGGAGTTTACACACTCTCGACCGTGTCAGGTCATTTATAGGGGTGAACCGTGCATGTGGAATAGAGCAAATTCCATTAGACTTACTTCAGACGCACATGGATGAAAGTGGTGTATTAAGTGACGACTTATAGACCACAATATACTGCAACCCATTGGCAGATAACGGTTTTAGATTCAGCGAAATATGAGGCCTTCAGTAGGACCACCAATGAAATCTTCACCACTGCGTGCACCTCTCTCTTGAGGTCAGAATTAGAAATTTGCTTCCACGCAGCCAGCCGCTGTTTACAAAGTCACTCAAATACTCCCGGAAGAATTCGGAGAAAGGCAATGTATATAACATGGCTAGTCTAATATAGGAGGAACCAATTAAGTTTCAATCTCTCCTCCTTATCACAGTGTAAGAAGTATACAGATTTAATTATGATGTTCAGGATATAAAGAAATGTTCAGTGATATGACGTATGTTTTCTCTGCCCCACAAGGCCGAAACACTCTAAAATATTTTGCAGAGGAGTCCAGAAGCCATGAAGAAACTGCATAATCGTGGGACATCGATTCTTCCGCCATATCACCAATACATGGAGCCGAATCTCAGAGGGGGTTGTAACTGACCTCCAGATGGCTCATTCAAGAAGGGAATGGATAGGTACAGATACTGTTTCTGACTAACATAGACCTCAAGCCTTCTATCCTCAACTAAAAATCTGAATCTGAAAGTTTTGGCTTACCAAAATAAGATAGGGAATTCCTCATGGGTAGGGGCACACGGACTGGATCAACTCAAAACTCTTTTCCTGGACAACAGTTAGCTTTGCAGTGTCACAAGGCACTGTACTCAGGTTCATCATATTTATTTTGCGTATTAATGAATCATATGTTCTCAGTGATTCCCCTAAGTTACTGTATGAATATAACTTAAGAATTCGGATGGAGGTGAAAGGAAACAATCATAAACTCACGTTGCAAGGAAACCACAACAAATGATTAGATTGGTTGAGAGAATTGATGCTCTCAATCAACGTAGCGAAGTGCGCAACCGTGTGCATTGGACACGCAAGCGCTAGCTTCCACGACCTAGTGGCGGCAACACTCCTATCAGTTAAGACTACAAACTACAGCTCACAGCCAGTGGTGGCACAAAGCAGTTTCAGTTATATATGTGCGTTGGTGGCACAGTGGTTAGGCAGCTCGCCGACCACACATACGGTCGGAGGTTCGATCCCCGGGCGATGCACACCTGATATCAGTGATCGGCCTGCTAGATTTGGGCCTCCGATATCACGTGCTGAAAATTCCATAGTTGCACCAAAAGTACTGTATGGAATCAAGCTATAATAAAATAGCTAAGTTCGCAGAGCCTTTACTGGATTCATCAGAGACATAATCATCCCTTTACATATACCTCTAGTTAGGTCAATACTAGAAAATTGTAACCAGACAGCCACTCCTTGCCTCAAAGGCGACTGACATATTCTAAAAGAGGTTCAAAGGAAGGCAATACGAATGACCCTTGGCATGAATAACTTATCATACGAGTAAGGATTAAGCAGTTTAAATCTCTTCTCCCTGTCACACGGTAAGCAGATAGGTCATCTCAATACAATGACTACGCACCTTAACTTTTCTCTCTTTTTTTCACAGCAGGTCCGACCACCTTAGAAGACAAATCAGGAGAGTTCAAAAGCAAAGGAGAAACCATATTGCTGTACAGTACAATTTCTCACACCGATTCATCAACTCCTAGAACCGACAACCAGAAGAAGTGTTGTCAGCACCCTAAGCTGACCCATGCAAGAAGTGTTTGGACAAGCATAGAGATTTACTTGGAAAGGATTAACATAGGCTCCAAACTTTCTATGCCCAATTAACAAGCCAGAATATGATCATCATATCTCCGGAAAAAAATCGGTTTTGTATCGTATCCAGTCATCAACTATTTGACAGAACTACACCAGGTCTTCTCTTCTAAAACACCCGTATTCAGAAATAAACCCACAGAAATCAGACAATTCGCACCATTCAAACAACGATATTGGTGTGCATATTGAAATGATCTCGAAATTCGAGTAGTCCGTTACAATGGTCCGCAAGTTAAAGTATCACGAACGGAAACTACTGAAGAAGTTTGACTTCATTAATTGGGAATGTGACAATAATTTACACGAAGTGAAAATAATTAAACGATTTCATATTCAGAAAAGGGAGGACTACACCTTGTAAGTTAAGTCAGCAGTATATGTAGGCAAATTTATATATAAATATATATATATGAGTAAATGAAATGAGCAGTAGTCATTTATTCACTTGTAACTAACAAACCGCAATTATGCGATTTCTGATTTATCGAGTTCATTAGTAGTCTTTATTTGCAGCTCCTTTAGAGTCACGGCCAGTACTGATTCAGATCTATTGGTTGAGGATAGAAGGCTTGGAGCCTATGTTAATCCTTTTCTAGTAAATTTCTGTGGTTGTCCAAACCCTTCTTGAACGAATCAGTTGAGGTTGCAGACACCACTTCTTCTGGGAGTCGGTTCCAAGAGTTTATTACTCGGTGTGAGAACCAGTACTCAACAGCAATATGATTTCTTCTTGGCTTTTGAACTCTCCTGCTATGTCCTCTAAGGTCTTCCGTTGGTCGTTAACTACTGGTGCCTAAGTGCTAAAAGCCCAGTGTTTTTATCCCTGAGATGTAGGCTTTACTAACATGAAGAGCATGAACCGTACTTATTGTGCTTGGAAGCTGGTGTTCCTACTCGGTTGCTCCGACTGCAGTGTAGAGCAAGATTCGTACGTTGAATCCATTGGCTAAAAGTTGAGGGCTTAAATAAGTGACTTACTTCTCTGCCTCACCCAGCTAGCATGTACTGCAGTACATCTATTGTGGGTATTCAAAAGTTGTACCATATTAACTTTAAGCCATTACCTGCTCTGATATTGGTATCTGCGCAATGGTCAAATTGATAAGCATCCGGTGTGTCTGAGCTGGACGAGCTTATAGAATGGATTAGGGCTTGTGTGGCATGTCAAAGATCAAAAATGTAATACAATATGGTTCAGCTTACTGCCGGATTTCTAGGATCAAATATTTCGACAGTCTTGAAGCCAATTTGTTGTCATGGTTTCACATATTCAACAACACCCATATGCCAGTTAATAAGATGAGCAACCATTCTTTGACTTAGTATGACTGGGAAACTTTTGCAAATGATGTCATCCACCACTGGACGTCAAACTTCGGTGTGCTCAGCGTTATTACTACAGGTAAGATTATCCATTTTAAAAGGCATGTATTCTAACAATTAAAGGCTACTTGAAATCAAGTGCATGAACAGTACTACGTTTCATTTTATTAGCGTTAGATTTATCGCCATCAGTTGACGGAATCATCGATGTTAGTAAACTATAGTGGTGAATAGAGTAATAAAATGTTAACTACTTCTTGGGATACATGTAGCAGTAATGCAAGATACCAAGTGTTATTCCGGGGAAAAATTAGCGACAGTTAGAATTCAATTACCTAGAAGACTTCACGTGTCAGACTATCACAGTTCTTGTGTTAGTGTTGGTGGTCCTGTCCGATTTCCTATGCTTATTTAGGTACGGCTGCCTGGAAAATATTTTAACTCATTCACCGAGCTTCTGTCTGATGAAACTAAATCTGTGTAACAATCTAGACATTATTTGAGTACCTCAATGGTACCACAAGTGTGCGTACCTCAGAAACTTGAGGATTGCGTTCATGTCTTCATCCCATACGTTGTTGTTAAAAAGCCACTGCAATCACCTTACGATGACGTTTTAAAGGCGACACCGAATGTCATACTTATTAGTTTTGACTAAGCTGCTATTAAAAGTCGTATTGTTTACTTTTGTAATACTATTACAGGCTGCGTGAACCCAAAAATATTCTCTTCTCTGTTTTTACTTAGTGTATTGTTTTTTGATAATAAAGAAAAATCACCGGTCTTATAGTCCAATTTTTTTGACTTTTGAAATCCTCCTAATAGGAAAAAATTGTTTTATATATATAGTTTATTTTGTTCATCCCCATTATTTCACGTAACTTTCATTCTCACTTTTTAATATACTTTGTTTGTTTTGTATCTCACTCCTATAAGCAGTGACTGCTAAAAGTATTATTGTATGAATGATGGAGATAAGTGCCTGCATGGAGTTAATATCGTTATGTTTCGATTCCGTATTCATTTCTGTGATTGACTGATTGGTGTGTTACCTATCACCTTGAATTTAACTCCAGGGTTAGTACGTGACCCTAGGACATGTTTGAATTGTTGTATATCTCGTTGGAGTTAGTCTGAGATTGTGACAACCCCATCTAAACGTTTCTTCTTTTAAACTGCAGTCAGTCAATGCTAAGGCAAAGCCAACAACAGGTATCAACGATTTTGACATAACCTAATAATAGGTTACGGACTGCTTTAAAGTAAGTCAGGCTGTAACCAATTCTTCCCAAATCCTCTTCTTCATATTAAGAAGGTGATGCAGGCCGGTCACCGGGAAGAAAGACTTAATTGTCGTTGCACGCCTCCACCAGCAATACGACTTTGCCCTCAGGTACTCATCATTGTGTAAGCAATTTCACTATAAAGATACCTGTTTTTGTTTTACCACTATTCAATCGACTTCGCGTATAACTCCTTAGGTCATTGTGATATGCAAGACTGACAACCAGGTCAGGATATGAATCAGTTATTGCTAATTGGTAACAATCATATCACTCATTTAAATTCTCTGCCTCCAGCAAAGGTACGGATCGTAACAAAGTAGTATAGCTCTGTATGGTTGATGAAAGTGTGAGAAAAGCGAAATGTATTGTTAATTATATGTACTTAGCATATACACAGAGCCCTAAAACCAGCTGCATGGTATAATGATTGAAGTTCAAACTTAGGTCAATGTAGTATTTGGACTAAATGTGTTTACAAAACGTGCTTCATTGCTCAGTTTGCGTAATTCTGGACCGGTAAGTTAGGGATTGCTGGTTTAAATCTCGCTGACATTTAATCATTTCTATTTAGTTATTCTTAACATTACGGAAAGCTTTTCTCATAATACTGGAGTTAAGAGCACGAGCAACTTTATGCACTACTTAAGCTGTTAACCTTATTGTAGTAAGTAATCTCACTGGTGTCTTGATATATTTTTGTTGCCAATATCTACTTTCTTTGGATCCCGTTTATAAGTGTAGTCATTAACATTGTGACTCAATGATTAGTTCAAGTAATTCTTTCAGGGTTGTTCCTTAATTTTACCGTTTGTTCCGTGTATCAATAAAATGTCAGATAGGTTCAGGTGAACGGCTATAAGTGGCAAAGTTTCATTATCACTCCTTCTTATTAAGACCTTTTTAAAATAATAGTTATAGTGGTTTCAAGTGTGTTAGACATCTCACATCACTTCAAAGTTTTTATTTTTTTTTTTCATTGTAGGTATAACAAACTCTCGCGAAAAATAAGAGACATTGCCGAGAAGCTCAAAGACATAGATGAAAACGACCCATGGAGAACAGAAATGACTGCACTCTTAACAGCTAAACTGTACGTTGCTACTTTCAAATGTGATATTTATAAAGGCACAATTTAGGTTTAATACCAACAAAAAGAAGTCTTATGTTAGCTTCAAAAGTTAATGCCTCTTCCTTTTGTCGAAGAAGGCTTCCTGTAATTCTGATGCGTTCGAAAATGGCAGAAACTATGAAAGCGGCTGTGACGTTTGTTGAACAGGGACACGTCCGTGTAGGACCGGATATTATTCGGGATCCAGCCTACCTAGTTACAAGGTGTGTCAGTAAAGTAATGCTTTTAATATGCTATAAGTTTATGGGTATGAATATTTGTCGTTCAAATGTGCATTCAATTCGTGTAGTTTGTGTTAATGCAGAGAATTATTTGTGGAAACAACCTTGTACTCCAATCTGGTACTATGTTCAGATTTTTAGATCTCTAAAACAAATTTTAAAGATTTAATTCAAAACATCTGAAATAAGTCACAAAACAAAATTTCATTCCCTTGATAATTTTGATCAGAAATAGAACAAACAGATTTCCAGCATAAAATGATATCATTTTATCTCACTTATCCGCATTAGTTATAATCACTGCGAAATATATGTGTCACTTCATTTTTGACCACAAATGGATATCAGTTAGAGAACCATTAAAAAAGGGAGTAGTGGGCAGTTGTTTCGTCCTAGTTCGGGACTCACCGGTGGTACGCACCCCCGGGTTTCGAACCCAGGACCTTCCAGTTACAAGTCAAGCTCGTAGACCATTCAGCCAATGGGACACGACTCAATGGCCCATGAATTCCAACTCTTACCATCCCGCGACTGGCACCAGCCAGTGTCATCGGCGAGTATTTGTCCTCACTACCGACAGCTTGGACTTCACTGGTCACGACTTCTCACTAAAACTCCAGGAAACTCCGTCCTTTAGTCAGTCACTAGCGAGCGTACAGCCGATGAGTCCCAAACTAGAACGAAACGGCTGTCCAGTATTCCCCAGTTTTCAATGGTCCTTTAAGTGATGTAAGTCCGCAGTCAACCTTGAAAAACCAATCAAATTCACACAAACCAACTCTTGAAAATATACTTCATACTTATTGAAAAAGCCCCGAAGTTAATTGATAATAAGAAAATAGGTGAAAATCACAAATTACAAAATCGATCACAGTTTGTAACTGATTAGGGAAATTCGTCAAGAGGACAGGTCACCTCATCGAAAAAATGTAACATGGTGAATAAATCCCATATCATATACTATCCTATTTGTTTAGTAACTTTTCTTTTCTGTCATATTTACGCAAAAATATCTGGATAATTGAAATATTAACTAATTAGCAGAAAACGAATCATCAGCAAAGGGTAACTCAGAAGATCATTAGGCAGTCAATGAATGCTTACCAATAAGTTTAGGGTTGTGTTTCTGTTCTATGGATCATCGCAGAGTGCCACGTATACGGGGGGGAGGTAAGCTGAGGAAGAGAGAAACGATCAATTTATCAAAAGCTTCATAATGTGGTGGTGTGTCTTTGAACAGGGATTTTCTGGTGCATTATAACTCAATGATCGAGAACCCTGCAATTTAGAGATAAGTTGCCTCGCGTCTTCATGAAGCGCAACTCAGTGATATGAATACTGACAACCTTTCTGCGGTTTCACAGTTTTCCTCTTTACAACAGTAATAGGAAAGTAATGAAAACTTACGGATACACCCAGTGTGACATATGTAATTGTTTTTTCATTATACTTACATTTTATTTATTTCTTAACGTTTTTTGTTTAGTTCATTTTCGATGTCATTGACTTGGGTTTTCCAACCAGTTATTTGCTGGTTCAACCCGTCTACACTTACCTAGGCTTGGGTTACCAATATATTATCCCCATCCCAAACACAGTAAACGTAACTAAACACCAAATGTGTACTTAACTGTCACGTCACACGTATTGTTTGAATGCATATTTTGTAATGGTTCGCTACTTTATATGTAAAAAAGGATATGATCGCTTCCTTAATTTTCTAATGTTTCGCTTATCATTAGATTCTCAGTACGCTGAATCCTTTGGATTTCTCTAAGTTCAGTTCTTTTTGCATATTTAAGCATTCACATAGCCTTCCCTGCTCCAAGTCAACTTTTGTTTCCAAGTGGAACTAGTGATTAGTGAAAGTTGGCGTTTCATTTCATCAAGCGAGTAAATAATATTGAAAAAATGTTCTCCTCAATATAAATTGTTTTCCTCATATCTCAGAGTTTATTTGAAATTACCTAACAAAAGAGTAACTGATTTCCACCTCCGTAGAACTAAGAGTTTCGAATTTCATTTATTTAGATGGTATATATGTACTGTTTTCCTTTTGCCATGTCAGGAAAAAAGAAAGGACACGTCTAAATTTAGTGTATTGTTAGTTATTTGAAGTGAGACAGAGACTTATGCATATAAAAATCTGTTGGTTGTACTGTTCACTGTGTTAATTAAATCTTAGCGTTTATGCTCATATATGACCTGTATTGTCATGTAAAAACAGAGATGACATATTAAATATTCCTCAGTCTTTCTGTATGTTCATGGCTGCTATTGACTTGCAATTACATACTACTTTAGTATTTGAAAATGAGCAAATACATGAATTTCCATAGAGTAAATTTAAGTAATTTATAACTCAATATGCAGTGGTTATAGTTTTATTTTCACATTCACGCCATTTGTAAAATTGTTTTTTTTATTGTTGATGTGCCAAATAAAAAGCTTTAATATCGTAACGCTAACGTTTGAATTCGTATTTATATATTTCAAAATACATTACCAGGTCTATGGAAGATTATATAACGTGGGCCTCTCGATCTAAAATACGGAAACAGATTGAAGAATATAATGGAATAAGAGATGACTATGACGACGTTTAATATTGGTTAATCGACGCTGTACATATTTTATCGGATTTGTACATTTCAAGTTCTTGAAAATAATAACTGCAATACGTTTGGACTTTTAATATACTCAAAGGAAATTAGAAATAGTTTCCTAATGTCACTCATATTTTAATCGGATAAAAATAATTTTTGGTGCTGTTGTTATTCCTCTAAATCTAGCACACAAGCATACTGTACTTTCGGAAGAGAATAATGTATTCCTACTGCTTAATATACGTGATCCATAAATCTGTTATGCTTATGCGTACTCAGTAGTCACAGTTTGTGTACATCCCTTACTTCAAGCGACAAGAAAGTATCAAGCATCTACAGCATGCGAGTCTTATGATAATTGTGTAACTCATGTGTTGTAAATCTTGCACTATATCTGTCTCTTGGGATGGAGGTTAGGCCTTAACTACACTGTCGATTACTACCAACACCGTTGATATCCTTCAGATTACAAGTGTGCCCAACAACACAGGTACCGTAAGGAAATAGTATTCTCAACCGCTTTACGTTATCTCATATGTACATCAGCAAGCTTATGATCACCAACATTATTTTTTCGTCACTTTGTTACTGTTCCGGTGATTTTACGAGGGTAGAAAATAATCAAGTGAGGTGAACCACCTGTTCCCACTCGGTTGCTGACCTGACGTTTGCCCGTTGGTGACCTTTTGTTACTTTATGTATGCGTGTATTTCTCATTTCTGTTGTGATTACTAACTTATTAATTACTTTGTAGTTCGTCTTTAACCACTGTAGTAGTTAAGAAGTTACAGAATTTCCATTTCTTTGCAAACAAACTGATCAGGGCAATCAAATCAAGAATTGATAGGACCTTTTCCATTTGGTCGTATTCACAAGTTGTGTAGGCTAATTAAAACACAAGTAAAGCTTGTGCGAGGTGTTGATCACTTTCAAGTCTAAAATCCGTTTAGTCAGACAGTCGATAATGTCTCTGTCTCAGAATTTGACCGAAATCAGGTAGACACACTTTCTTTTGGGATTAAAACCTGACCAGTTTCTTAGTCTTCTGGTTTGGGAAAATTAATTTAGTGGTGAATGACTACAGGACTCACTATCATAGATGCTAGTCAATTTAGTTACTCAGTTGCTGACTCAGAAAGATTCTGTCAATCTCTACTACCTCGTTTTGTTTTCAATTTAGATCAACTTCGACTTCGTTATAGACTTAATAGATAATGACGGTGGATTTCAGCTAAGAAAAATTTCCACTGTCAATTAAAGAACTCAACGTTTTGAACTGTCTTAGATCCTATTCTTGATAGTTTATTTAGTAATCCAATGTCTGGTGATCAGCGTTACAGAGGTTTCTGTCACTTTCAAAAATTACTGCTTACTTTCAACACAATAGAAGCCAACAGGGTGTGCGCTTCTTTTGTCAATGTCGAGATATTCAGTTTCACTGCTCTAAAAGCAGGACAATTACAATACCACAGTACGTCAAATCGAAGCATAGCGATTTTTTGACTTATACTTAAAAATACACTTGTTTTTAGGTGCAACCACTCGCTAACATCGTGTTTCCACCCAGTTGAGAATTCATAGTCTCAGTAGGTACTCCTAAATGTGCAAAAATCTTCCAAAGGTGAGTCATAGAGACAGGATCTTTATCCACCGCCGTTTGATGGTAGCTATGTAACACACTGTCTCTGAAGCTAGTGTTAAGGATGAGCCAGGGGTTTTTGGCAAGTAATTGAAGTAAACGATCACGGTTATAAGGACGGAACAGCATAGATACCACCTAATGGCATTTGCATCAAAATCGTCAGCAATATTGTTATATTATCAAACAAAGGCGAAATTCTTTCATATCTCTGAGAATACAGTTAGCGGGTCTGCATGCTGAGACTGTGAACAGGGACTATTCTTTTTTTACCTGTTGATTCAACTGCACGTCGTACACTCAGTGATGTTTCCATTTTTCAGTAATTAACGCTACACCAAGTGCACGCCGCATCATTTGGTAGAATTTGTGAACTCCTCCCTAAGTTCATATCATCAGAAAACGAACCAAATATATCAGTCATTTACAGGATCTAGGCTACTTGTTATTTCTATCATACTCTAATCAATATAATAGTCTCAAAGTCAAAGAAAGGAAATATGTGCCACTATTCTTGTCTATGAAAAGTAATACAGCGTTTTCAGACAACAACCAGAACAGCAGAATATTTCACTGGTGAGTTATAAACTTCACTTCTTAAAGACTCATTAGACTGCTCCATTAATATAGACTGTAGTGTACAAAACACTTCGAAACTCTTACATCTACTTTTATATCTTGATCAGTACCACCAAGGCATTCTCATATATCTTGCAAAGGCTGTTAGTGAGGAAACGCCTTCGAGACTTATATACAGAAACGGAGCGTCACTTCTAAAGTAGAGTAATAAAGAATCAGCTTTTACGAGACTTTCATTGTTATATAGCATAGTGTGTATTTAAAAGTGTATGCCTGCACAACCTAATCCAAAAAACTATACTGCTATATGCGTCTGACCAGGAGGAGGCATACCCAGTATTTGTAAAGGGAACGGACCAAACACGAGAAAGCTCAAAACCTAAACTGTCACCTCAGATATTTTCGATTGGTATCAATAAAGATTTTAAGTGATATTGCTGCTGACGTCTGTCGAAAATTCTTTGGTCCGGCAGAATTTTCGCATATCTGAAGACTGGTAAGTAACAGGATAACACCAAAAGTAATTACTAGCTCTAGCTGGTATAACTCATAAGCAGCATACGAAGACATATTATGCCTCTGTTGCAGATTTATTTACCTATGAGGTGGAAAATGTTGTGGTTTGTTCCATCCTTTCAATTCGAAAGGAGTAATTAGTGTCTAACTACTACCCTGTTATTTTGAGCTGTTCAGTTCTGATAAAGTAATAGTGGTCAAATTACTGAGTTACGTGGGAATGACTTATTGATACAAAAGCAGAACGTCTCAAGGCCTGTACCCTCATGTTTAACGAATTTACTTTTAGTCAGTTGATGGCTGCGTGCGTTACATTACCGCTTGACGTGATATTTATAGATTTCGGTATCTAGTGGAGTATCACACTTAAAATAAGAACAAAGAGGTCAGAAAGAAATATTTTTCCAGTTAATCCCGTGTTTTTCACTTAATCTTACTGGATAAGATTATTTATTCAAACTGACTTATTTACTGACCGAACAGTGTGAACTTACTTGAGACCGAACCTTGGGTACTGCACCCCAGTGCTTGTGTGAAGAGAAATACAAACATCTCAAGTTGGGAGGATGGAGTAGGTACTAGGTTAATAGGGAGGACCTCACAGCTTTCCTACGAAAAGATGGAGTTTGTCGTATCGTAGAATTGGTATCTGATCTTCCTACTGCTTCTAAGACTAATTGCATAGAAGGTTCAGAAGCCCCGATCGAAGAAACAACCACTAAGTCTTAATTTCACCAACACGAGAGTCAATTACCGCAACAATTAGTGGCAGGTCAAATGAGGAATGCTTCAAAGGAAGGGCTGAATTTCTATAGGAATATATGTCATCAGCATTAGCGGTCTACTTAGTTTAACATCTACAACATGAGAAATGAAAATAAAGCAACAACAGTTCCCTTTAAAAATTTAAGGCTGAATAGATGTAAATATTATGACCTGCAATCTGCTGACTATATCTAGCACCATTACAAATGAAACACACCTAATGTGTTTCCAACAGCTAAATTTAGCACACTACATGTTCACAAATGTCACGTGTTTCATATGATAAAACGTAGACAAATCTGACGGTCGTTCAGTAAATATTAAAACTAAGAGTAGTCAAATTTAGGGACAGTGAAAGTTAACCGAGGTATTCGCACACAATATCAACTGTGCGGGACAGAATTGTCTGATCTACCTAGCAACGTCGAGCGGTGATCATGTAACCACGGCGTAGGTGAATTATAGCATAAACAGAGTGACAGGAGAAACTTAGAAAGCAGATATCATCAGACCCACATGTTAGCTACTTCTACGCTTTGTCTGACCTAAGAAAGACGTTGAGACTAATTATGAGGGTTATGAATTCAGTTTCGGTTTAGGCTGGATTATCGAGAGCATTTTATTCCGTGGCCATTCCCAGGCTAATTCAATGAGACGAACTACAGTTGAATAAATCAGCCAGCACTTTCGCGAGGGGAGCTTAGAGCATACCGCAAAAAGTACGTGAGCAGCGAAGTAAGAAATCTTCAAAATTGGAATATTAGCTGCATCTGTTCGAAGACGCTCAGCATGTAGCACTTCAATATACATCAAAATGTTCAGTAAGACTCTGCATTCTCACTGTCCTTGAGTTATGTTTATTCAGCGGAACTACGGCTGATTAACCTAGGAGATCAACTCCTAACCACTGTGTCACAGGTGGGAGCCCTGCTTTATTAACCGAGGTCTGGGCAGTCAGACAGCCTCATTCATGCTGTATATGTGATTCATCGCTGACAGCATGAAAATGTGAGTTGTTGGGTTAGATTCTATTCTTCAAACCAGTGAACGTATTCCGTTCATTGCTCAGTCGCACCACTTCAGAAATCCACATTAAATAACCTATTTCAGGTTTTCAGCTACGTCAAAAAGGGAAGCTCCTTACTAAGATTACAATATGTCTGAGACTAAATTAAGGACGTTAGATTGTTGGAAATAGAAGCTGGCTTATGATTATAATGAGGAACGCTGAATATAAGGAAGATAATTCGGAGGAAATTACAGATATGAGAAGTACTTCCGGTTAGAAATAACAAACGAAACTTACACACGAGTGTAGCACGTTCATCAAAAAACAGCTGTCCCGCAGATGACGACTTTGAACTACTACTGACTTAACCAGGTTAAACTCTGAAACTGTTTATATTAAATAGGAACAGAGCTACATGAATTCGACCGTTCATCAATGATGAACGGTTGAATTGACGGTTCGAATTCATATATATATATATATATATATATATACTTCCGCAATATCTTCACGAAATCGATCAGACTAATGAACCATGTCTCGAGAAAGAAATACGCAGGTTTTATCATACAGGTGTGTAGTTATTTATGGAATGAATAGGGGATAGAACTACTTTGACTGCGATTCCCATTGTGTAGGAGTCAGTGTTTTTAAAGTAAGAGCATGTATCGACTTCATTTCATCATCCAGCTGCTTATGGACAAGTCTAAAGAATAAAATCCTAAACTGTAACAACAAACCTATGCCTTTCTACAAGGGATTTGCCTTCAAATTCTTTAGACACAATGTTGATGTTGAATTTTAAGCCACATCCATCTGAAAAATCAACAACTTCCTGACAGCTGATTCAGGTAATGAATATCAACATACCAAATGAATTGGATTTAGTGAACCAAGCTTTTCTTCAATAATACTCTGCATGACCTTGCAAGTAACGCAGAGTTGGGATACCCAGAATCTAATAAGTTAACCAAATAGTTAGGAATTCGAAAAGTATGCAATCGTATAGCTAATTTTCAATCAGAAAGATATTTAAGTGAAGAAAAACAAATAGCAATCATCTAGAAGAACAAACACCTATGACCTTGAAACAAGTATAAGCAGTATTATCATTGAGAATTAAGATAACATTATTCTAAAGTAGGCTTCACGATTTTGCGTGTCATCCTTTCGCAGGGGCCATGCTAATCTTCTTTGTATCGTTCCATTTTTAGTATATGTACCGCCGAAGCGAAGTGTGTCGGCAGCATAGCGGTTAGGAAGCTGGCCGACCATGCATATGGTCCGGGGTTCGACCCCCGGTCGACGCAGTCCTTTACATCGCTAAGCCAGAAATAATGCTGGTGAAGAAGAAAGGTTGGGCATGAGGCTAGCAACCCCATCCTGTAAAATTAAACACTGCTACAGAAACTTCAAGCCACTAGCTTGAGGCCCTGTTCCACAGGGAACGTGAAGGGAAAAACTTCTGAAGAATGCTCTAATACACAATGCAGAATTTTCCTAATGTTATGTTTCAAAGAATCTATAACTCGGTAAGAAACTTCGAATAAACTAACGGTAGCAGACTTCGGGTATAAGAAGAGTGTAGCCGTATAAAATTCCCCAGAATTATTGACCACAGCAATCATCACTGAATATTGGATGCTGACCCTCACTGTTTTGACTTGTTAAGCTGAAGGTTTCCGGTCAGGCATCCATGCCATTTGGTACTCTGTCGTGTCACGCACACCAGTTAAGCATTCATCCCGGTCTACGATTTGGTCCCGAAATATATCTCGTAGTTTGGACGATCAAACAGTGTCTTTTGCTTTGCCTTTGGTCCACGTGGAATGAATACTATAGAAGTTGTTGGCATAAGATCTTGCGTTAGTATACTCCGTACAATTTGCGAACGTCAGTACCGTCAGCCTCTAAAAGAGAAAACAGATAGAATTTTCAGAATGACTTTTATACAAGAGTGAGTGGAAAATTCGCATACAGAAGGTGCATTAAATTCAATCCTATATAATTAGCTCCAACTATCATCTCAGATTTGGTGCAGTCGACCCAAACCGTAGTATAATACTACAATAATCCTTACCCTTCTCTTATTCTACTTATATCTTCTGCTGATCTCGAACTAACAGCAGCCTATAAATAACATGACCCTAGTCCAGATTAAATTCTGCCTTCTAACCGTTGATGACTGATATTTGGAATAGCGAAAACAGACACTAGTAATAAGTAGTTGTTCTTGAAATACTTGAAATAGGTGTTGAGGTGGCAGTTACATTGGTCGTTCGACACGTACCCTGTCTAAAAGGGTCAAAGAACACTATCCCGCAAGGCTGCAAAATGTTAATAGTGGCTATATAAGTAGTGCGATCATCGGTCATCTCGTCAAACTGATCATTCCATCCTAACAAACGCCACCTTCAAAGTGATCTACAGAGTGAAGAACAACCCACTAGAGACAATACACTTCCGTCTCCTTCGTACTGTCGAAACCTTAGCCATTCATTTATAGAAACCAGAGTTACGTGTGCAAAGGGAAATCATCCAACCACGTCTACTCTCATGGTAACGACCATCCTAACTTCTGATGACTTGATGTTTGTGTGCTTGTGGAGGTGAGCCCCACAGTCAATGAATGCAGGATGTTCAGAAAATTTGAAAACACAGATTAGTGACATAAAATCGTAGATCTGTGAACTTGCACCTCTGACTATCCTGACGAGAACCATAAAACTTGACGAACTTGACACAATCAGTAACTGAGGTAGATATCTTGAAAAACTTCATCACAACAGAGGTTATGAAAAGACTAGATACTAAACTAAGTGTGATAGTCTATTATATACCAGATAATGAGGGTTTGAAAAAGGTTCAAAGCATCTTCCTTAGGACGGCGAAAATGCCTAGCTCCCAAACAAAGTGTCACAGACCGAAAAGGAATCAGCTCGACTACTGTTGCCCTATACGTCTTCAGTTTGAAACTCAGAGGCTAAGAAATACATCAATTCACAAAGTATAATGATACAGGACACGAGCTGCAAACAAATAAAATTTGTAGTATATAAGACGATGATTGAAAGGCGCGCTTGCAATCGAGCGACTTTATTGCATATCCCCTCAATGACGTTTGTCTCTATGCTGCTATTGGTTTCAAGTGGCCTTAGTTTCGGGGCGAGATTTAACTGATATAATATTGTGATTTCATAGACATATCTCAGGCTCATACGTGAAAGAAAGTTATTATCCTGTAATAAGGAAAAGTTGTTCAGAAGGTAAGGATGACGTTATTTTTCAGTTTATTTGTGTATATACTATTGTGCACCGAGTTGCAACTGTATGTAACTGCATTTACATAAAGTGAAATATTAGGAATGCTAGAATAAAAACATTATTACAATCATTAAGTTTAGTAATGAAGAACGGAATTTCTTCAACATCAATGTTATTTAAATAAGTTGTAATCTGTGTAGGCCCCTAAAGGAATAAGTTCGGCATGGAGATTGCCCATGTAAACCGAAAGTGCTTTTAGTTTAGTAAATCTTACTGACTTCCTGTATAAGTTTGATATTTGTCAAGTGTTTATTTAAAATCTGCTGGAGTATTCAGTAAAGTAAAAGTTGTGGTGCATGATTCCAAGACTTGTTGTAGTCATTGGTATTGCCAGGATACCACTTACTCGTTTTATGCGGCCGAAATATACAAATCTCGCTTTATTGAGGAAACACTATAATGCCTGCAAAAGTATTGCGTCAGTTAATGAGTTTCATAAATTCTACAGAATGTTTTTTATTCAGTGATTACTGTTTGCGAATTATCCGAGCAAACACATTTCCAATTGGGATGTAACACAAGGCTGAATTCTTAAACTGTCGTCATTATATCAGTTCAATCCAATCACACATATATTAGTAGGATAGTCTATCATTGACTTTAGAGACTTATCAGGGAATAGTCTCATCAACTTACAGTTTGCTGATGATACCGTACACCTAGACTATTAGAAGTAACCCCTGATACTGGAAAATATGAAAAGAATACCGGTGTTTGATTATAGGTGTCTGTGTTCTATCTCATGAGTAAAGCAGTATAATATGGCGATTGCTGTTGAGGTTACGCATAAAGTGTTAGGTGAGGAGGGTAAGTTAGTCTTCAAGGTAGGGAAGCTGAATAGGTTGAGATGGCTAGAACACGTGATGGCATACCAAGCCATCGCCTTCCTCGAGGGATAATGTTAGCCAGCAAATGTTAACGTTCAAAATGTGTTTTGGTCGGTCAAATGAAAAACTGGTACTGGTTCATAAAATCGTTGACAGTCAGCTAGAAGAACTACTAGATATATGTCTGCAAGTCTTTTTTTATGGCACAGATGCATTCACTCTGTGTAATCTCAACACTTTTCTAAAAAGTATAATCTTTATAATATTTCGCAGTATTTTTAACATTATATAAGTTGAAGGGTTACTTTGCAATGTCTAATGCGCACCGTATGAAAATCGGTCATGAAAATTTAGCATAACTAGCTCTGTTAACCAGCTGTTTTCTTCAGGATCATTATAAATAATTTTATCACTAATTGTTCCACTACACTTTTTACTCTGCTAAATAGACTACAACCTAGTTGCTGCAATACTAGCTACTTCTATACTTTATACTTCTTAAACGCAATTTCCTAAGCGTTTGTTACAAATACTTGTATGCATGTATGCATGTATAAAGGTGATACTGCTAAGAATGTCCTCAGGTATCGATGTATCTGGTGACCTAATGGGAAGCGCTTGTCATGAAACCAATTAATGTGCAGCATACTGTATGACTGGGACGGGCTAAAAGCAATGCAATACTGCAACTACAGTTTGCAAAAAAATCTCAGAGCTTAACATCAAAAAAGGAGGGAGGGTGGCGCATGCTGATCAGCAGATATGGTAGTGGTCACAATTGTGAATCGCTCCAATCTGTAGGACAGCAACATGCATTTTTGTGACAGCTCGAGAATTAAACATTAGTCTGCACCCTCAACAAAAAAAATAATAAGGGTTGTACGGATCTAATTATAAATAAAAGTGTTTTGGCTCCTACTATCTACAAGCCTGTTCAGCTTCTTGTCAAGATGCTACCCGTTAGGCCCTACAGAAATTCGTGAGGTACCTTACAAGTCAGCTTGTTCTACGGCTTCTAATCTTCCAGATCTTTGAATTCATTCCTTACTTAAATATCACTTATCTACCTCACAATAATCTTTTTACTTACGCACTAATATAATCTGATCTTAACTACCTAGGACTTTATTGAAGCTGAAACTTGCTCTTTATTCATATTTGTTGCTTGCTTTAGTCTGGTTGCTTTGATTAAAAACACAACAACACCAATGTTTGAAAAAAGCTATATTTTCATCGGAAACGTGATAGTTTCCATGCCTAGACCGATATGGTTGGCACTAAACATTGCAAATGTACACTATCATTTCAAGTACTATATAGCTTCTTCTCCTTGTATTTATCTTGTAAATATACTTCCAATAATGTATTATTCATAATCGCATTTTATACCTTTTTGCAGCTGCGCAGAAATTTCTCCTCTTCCTGAAATAGCCTTCAATCACGTAGCGACATAGCACTCACCCAGATATACGCCGTCCACTGGTTGACCATAACGATCAGCAGGAAACGGAACGAAGTTCGGTTGGTCGCTCAAATTTGATGGTGACCTTAGTGGAGGGCTTACAATTTAACGTTAACAAGAGCATGTTCCGATTGCTTGTACAATAAACAAACAATTTAAATTTTTGAAAAAGTGTTAATTTATGATACTTCATGATTGTAATTTATAATATTACTGATCGTACCTGTAAAAATGGCATGCATTTCTTGTAAACTTACCCGTTTATACGATATATAAATTATTATTATGGCTCACGATGTCGCTATTTATTCTCTCTGAAATTTTCGCTCGTTAAACTTCCATTTAGTTTTATGTCTCTACCTTTGTGTGGTGCATGAAATGTGGTAAACTAAACAGTTGGGCTTTTTTGCGAAGTCATGCTGAAAGCCAGGCAGAATGACACAG